AAAATTCCAAAAGAAATCGTCTGCTTGGAAAGTCTTTTAATGCAAGTATAGTTTTGAAAGAATAAATTATCGTCTGCTATTGCAATGTTTTTCGGACATTTGTGCTCTCTCCGAAGAAATTTATTCGTATCTAGTATTAAACAGCGCGTGAAAGCATGGCTTTCGATATCTAAAGCTACATAGGTAATTGTCAAGATAGGAAATTAAAAAAAGACAACATATAATGAAATATAAAACAAAATAAAATCTGAAATTTAAGATTTTACATTACCCCAAGGTGCTTTTTAACACTTTGCGTGTTACCTTATTAATTAATATAATGTCTTCGCACTTAAACCGAAAATTCAGTCAATAGCAATATCAGAAAAATAATTTTAAAAATAACCTATCTTTAGATTTTCCGATACACAGTCTCGCGCGCTGGAGATAAAAATGTTTTATTGTAGAGCATTGTCATTGCTTGCTTTGAAATTCCTCAGTATGTTAATCAAAAAATTCGTTAAAGTTTTACAAAATATGAAAAACGATAATAAACAAATTCCAATTTCAATTTGGGCTTCCAGATGCCCATATTCGCAGGAGGATGACGTTATTCTAAATTTGTAGTTTCTAGTAACGTGTTTTATCAAAATGAGGGAAAACATGTATGCATTTATGAGATTTTTAATCGTTTAATTCCTTAAATATAATACAGTCAGAATATATTGTTGCCACATTTGAACATTGGCTACATTGGCTTTCGCATGTACATCGATCTATTTTCACTTAAAAAAAACCAGAATTGTACAAACTCGGCATCGCGCAAACTCCGTATTGCGCACCACATGGCTTTGTCCATGTGCACATCTATTTATTTTCACTTAAAAAAAAAATCCCAGAATTTACCACATGCTTTGCCATGTGCACCATCATTTTCACTTAAAAAAAAATCTAGAATTGCACAAACTCGGCATGGCGCACGGCATTGGCTTGCCATGTACGAATTTTCACTTAAAAAAAATCCCAGAATGCACAAACGCGGCATCGCGAAACCTCGGCATTGCGCACCACATCGGCTTTGCCCATGTGCACATCGATCTATTTTCACTTAAAAAAACATCCCAGAATGCAGAACGCGGCATCGCGAACAACCTCGGCATTGCGCACCAGATTGCTTTGCCCATGTGCACATCGATCTATTTTCACTTAAAAAAAACCTCCCAGAATTGCACAAACTCGGCATCGCGCACAACGTCGGCATTGCGCACTACATGGCTTTGCCATGTACTATCGATCTTTCATTAAAAAAAAATCAGAGAATTGCACAACTTTAGCTTTTCCAATCTTCTAGGATTGAGCCAAAAAGAAATACAAAATATTAAAATAAGCAACTTTAAAACGAACCATACAAGAAAATTTTTTTCACTTACCCTTTCAAAGAAAAATGTAAAGTCTTTTTGAGGGGTTTTATATATGAATTTATTTCAGGGGGAAACCCTTTTGGATCCCCCCTCATCTTTAAATAAATTTACAAACGTTTATACGCCGTTTCCGTAATATATGCAGAAAAAAAGGCTAAAACCCACAGGGGGGGAAACACTGGATTAAAAAAAGAAACCACATAAGAACATTCAAACCGCAACAGAATTAACAAGTAAACAAAGGGCGTTTTTTTTAACGTTTTGTGTGTTACATTTCTTTATCAAATAATGTTTTTTACACTTAAACCATAAAATTCAGTTCAACAGCAATATCGCAAAATAATTTTAAAATGAGCATATCTTTAGAATTTCTGATACACAGTTTGCGCTCTGCACGTAAAAAATGATTTTTTTTTTTTAGTCCAAAAGGCAATTGCCCTGAAGGACTATTGTTTTCGTTTTGCGATTTTGCGTTGAAACCTTTAAAAGGCTGTATCACTTTTTCAAATCGTTGCCATCAAATATTATCGCCCTGATTATATCTGAAGAAATTAATAAACATAAAAAATCTGAAGGTTTTCAGATAACTTTTTGTGGGTTACCTTTATTTATTAAATATCATGTTCCTTAAACCATAAAATTCAGTTCAGTAGCAATGTCGCAAAATAATTTTAAAATGAACAGATCTTTAGAATTTCGATACACCAGTTCCGCGCCAGCTGAAGATAAAAAAGGTCCCCCCCCCCCCATTGTAGAGTGTTGCCATTGCTCGCTTTTAAATCGTTGTTTTTTACTCAAAAAATTTTGTTAAAGTTTACAAAATCTGCATTCGATAATAAAACAAATTCCAAATTTCAAATTTGGTCTTCCCACATGCCCATATTCGTAGGAGGATTACGTCATTCAAAACTCCATGGCTCTATGTTACCATTGTTTTATCACAATGCGAGAAAATAGAACATACATTTATGCAGATTTTTCATTATTTAATTTCTTCAATATAATGCAAGGCTCTAGTTATTGTGGGCAACAGCTTGAAAAGTGTGAAACGGACATTTATTGATTCAACGCACAATCGCCAAAACGAAAACAATAGTCCTTCAGGGACAAAGCCCCTTTGGACTAATGAAGAATCTACATAAATGTAATATGTTTCTGGCACTGTGATAAAAACAGCGGTACCTAGAGCCATCAAAATTTGACTAACGTAATTTCCATAGAATATGGGCATGTGGAAGCCCGCCCTAATTGAATTTGAAACATTTTATTATTGATTTCGTATTTTAGTAACACTTCAACGAATTTTTGATTAAAACACTAAACGATTTTCAAAGCGAGAAATGGCAAACACTTCAACGAATTTTTGATTAAAACACTAAATGATTTCAAAGCGAGAAATCGCAGCATTGTACAGAAAAACATTTTTATCTCCAGCGCGTGAGACTGCGTATCGGAAAATCTAAAGATAAGCTCAAAATTTATTTTGCTATATTGCTCTTGAACTGAATTTTAGGGTTTAAGTGCGAAGGACATGATATTTAATAAATAAAGATAACACAAAATGTTAAAAAAACTCCCCTTTGGACGTAATTTAAAATCTGAAAACCTTTCAGATTTTCATTTCTCTCTTGCTTTTCTTTCTTTTTATTATTATTTTTTCCGTATTTGTGTTGCAGTGCTCGCTTTGAAATCTTTGAGTTTGCTAATAAACATTTCGTTCAAGTTTTACAAAATAAACAATCAGATAATAAAAAAAATTCCAAGTTGGGGTTCCAGATGAACATATTAGGTTGGAAACGTATGTTATTCAAAAATTTGATGGCTCTAGGTTACCGTTGTTTTATCACAATGGAGGAAACCTTATGCAGATTTTTCAATATTTAATTTCTTTAAATATAACACAGTGCGATAACATTTAGTGGCAACAGAATAACAACACAGCTTCAAAACATCGGGTTAGCCATGCTGGCGCGTTTATTGCCCATTGAAAAACAATCGTCAAGCAGTGGGCTAAACCGCATTTTAACCTATATCTGTTGTTATTCTGGTCAATTATTAAGTCATATAACAAGAAAAATTTCGAAAACTGAAGTTAATTCCAATAGTAAACGGTTGAAAAAGAGCTAAAATACAGGGACATGTGTCGCTTTTTGAAACCGCATTTCGATTGTTGAATGTTCTGATTTTATAATGGATCAATACAAGCATGCTTTTGTTTTAAAATAAAATTTTAAATCAACACCTGAGGTTAACATGCAAAATAATCTAAAATTCTACTAGAATAATGAGCCTGAGCATATTGCTATGAACGAGAGGCTCAGACAATCGTTTAGTATTCTTGAAATGCGGAAAATATCCCCCTAAGTATTCGATTTAATCCTTATCGAACGTATTTTGTGTGAAACAGAAATATCGAATTCAAAAACAAAGTAATTCTTTAAAATAACCACTGAAATTTATAATGCAAGGAGAATTAAAAACAAAATTAGGCTTAGTGAAATTATCTACGTGAATCCATGCAAAAAGAATTATACTGACATAGATTTCTCTCCCAAACGGAAATATAATTAATTTAGGATCAAACTTTCGTTGCGGTTTAAAATATTTAGCTTAAAAAGAACACAGGTTAAATGCATATATCAGAGAAAACTATATTTTACTGATTCACTTAAACTTTCATTTTAGAAAATCAAGTGTTCCATTACTTTTTCAATGTTTCACAAATAAAAGTGTGTCTAAATACTGAATATTAATTATAGCTTTCTCTCTCAAAAAAAGTTTTTTTAATGGCGTTCAAAACACAGCTACTTTTCCATTACTTTCAAGAAAACTATGATTGATACTACGTAAGAAAAATATTATCCAACTGAATTAAAAAGAATGAATAAATAAAATAAAATGAAAATAAAAAAAAAATAAAATAAAATAAAAATTCAAAACTTTACATACAGAATTAAAAAAAAAATACTGTAATACTTTAGAAAACAAAATACGGTTTCTGACAATCGATGAAATCATCGATAAATGCACGTTTCGTAATTTATTCTGCACAAATGAGCATTTATTTCAAATTACTTTATACAAAGAGAAAATGAAATAATTAGTAAAAATTTCTATATGTTGAATGGAAGCAATACCATACTATATTACTTAAAAATGGCGCAGATATGATTTGGTTCTTAAATTCAGTCTATTTTACTGCTTAGTTTATCAAGAATTTAAATACTTTCTACTAAGTGTTAAACGTTTTATGATGAATTTTGAAAACTTGTTTAAGCTTAACAATTATTTCTTAACAGAAAAAACATCTAACCTGATATAATTTTACCTTCTCAGCTTTTTTACTGAAAATATTCTTTGAATTTCGATTTTCATTTAAAATGCAAAATTTGGATGGAAAGTCAGAAAATTAATTTCATTTGAATAAATCAGTATTTCACTAATTTGAACTATAAAAATGTTTAATAAGTTTTACTGCATAAAAATTGCACAAAAAAGTTTCTTTATGAATGATTAATTTCAAAATATAAAATCTCGATAAAAGAAAATATACAACAAAATGAATTATGTATATTTTTTAGTTTTAGAATCATTACTTACTTTATATCTTTTTATGGGCGTAAAATTCCTAACTTTTGAAACTTTTTGTGAAGGTACTGCAGCATGTTTTGAAAAAACAATTCCTGACTTTCTTTTTATTAAATCCAATAAATCTGTTCGATCCCGTACGAATAACGGATGCTTAAATTCATGAATATTCTCATTATAACGATTCACTTTGCGAAATCCATAGAGGTTTAACTGTCTTACAAAGCTTGCAATATTCTTAGTCTTGAATATACCAGCATCTCGATTAAGAATTTCGTCTTGGAATTTAGGGTACTCTAAAAGCAGAGTATCTCCATTAGATCCCCATCTTATTGAATTTGAATCACCTTCATTTACAATAGACCATAACTTTTCTGGAAACTTCATGGTCAAAAGCAAAACCTTTCTTTCTTCCCAAGTCTTTCTTCTTATGTCACAATTGCTATTCATAGCGCAACATCTGACTTAATTCAAACCGTCTGCGTTAAAATCCAAATAAAAAAGAATAGAACTGGTTAAAATGAATAAGTTCTTGTGATTATTTAATATCTTACGCGCGCTAGAACGAGATTCGAGATCTAAGCGAAAATTTGTTGCCATTTCGAAAAATTAATGTTTAATAGAATGAACGTGCAATAAATCGTAAGAAAAGATTTAGTATTTGAAAGAGAAATGCTAAATATTTCCAACCCATTTTTAATCGGCAAATTAATATCGAAATTCTATTTAATGCTTAATATTCATTTTTTATACTTAATATCGAATTTTCCATATTTGATCTCTGAATTCACAAATAATTTATTCTATATTTGGATTTATTTAAATTCTTTTAACATGAAATTCATTCTGAAATTACATATAATGCTAATTTATTAATAATCTGATTTCGATGAATTAAAAAAAGAATTATATTCTGACTGCACTCTTAACTACTAGAAATGAACTGAAGAACGTAACACTTTACAATAGTTTTATATTGCTAAGTATATATGTAATTTTATATTGTAAAGTATATATGTAATTTTATATTGTAAAGTATATATGTAATTTTGAGCCAAATTGATCAGGAGTATGATGTACAGCCGTTAATTATTGTGTGATTATTTACGAGAAGACAAGTTCTATTATCAGGCTAATCTTTCATAGAATGAAAAGCAGTAAATTACTCAGATCATCAACTTAAGGACTTATTAGCCCTCTGAAAAATTATAAATTATAAATTTAATTGTAAACATAAATTCATTACGACACAGTTGAGTAATTTTTATTATTTTGCGACATCTAAGATCTTTCATTTATTACTCACGCAGCCTGATAAATTGTCAATGATACTGTAATTAGTTGTTCCGTGGAATCTTTACTTTATTTTTCAAATTAGAGCATTAACTAAGCTGAGAATACATGTAATTTTGAATTTGATAATACTATTTTCTCTGTATTTCCTTGCCGTCCCGACGATGTGTAAAAATGGATCGTTTTGTCTTGTTTTTAACCAAAGTTATAAAACTGCTTTTATGTACAATCATAAATTATCATTCATAACTTGTAATTGCATATCAATATCATGATGCCATGGTAAACAAAGAGTTGAATTGTTCTATTACTACTGATATATGCAGTATTAGAAGAACCATAAAATGAGGCAGCTTAATGAATGGAATAAGGAGAACTCTTGTATTTATTACAGGAAGCTTTCCTTATGTCTATGCTGTGTAATTAAGTGCGTGTGCTTTGGCCACGTGCTGTTAATAAACAGTATGCGGCCATAGCAGAGTCAAGTTTATGCTAAATTGGGATACAAAATTATGTTACCGAATGTGATAAATTATATGGTAAAATGTGTTCATCTCTAATAAGTGTGCCTAAGTTTTTACATGTGTTCTGTTGCGTAAGAATGATAAGTACTATACTTTTAAAAAACTAGTTCTTTTTTTTTCTTTGTTGTAACTAATGCCATTCCGTTTTTTAATCTTAGTGCCCCCTATTTAACGAAAGCAAATTTTATCTGCCTCATATTAATTTAAATTTGAGATTTAAAAGAAATATACTTATTAACAGCTTAGATCTTTATTACAACTTTTATTGATATCTCTAGCTAGGGCAGTGCATAATGCATTTAACTCGTGTGTTTTATAGTACAAATAACTGAACAATTTCAGAAATATTTACATCAATGTTGCATTCAAGATTGCACACCTCTAATAATGAGTTTTCAGTTGAGCTTATTTTTTAGAATAAGATCATGAAGAGGTTGAATAAGAAATTTCATAATAATTTTAAAGTTTACTGAAAATTAACAATCGCGTATGTTTATTATTGTTACATTAATTCAATGAAACAGCCTAACAAAACTAAAAATATATAAATCTAATTTCTGAAAAAGTTCAATACACCTGAATTCGTAAATTATAACAGATGCGAAAAGCATTACTAAACTTCTCATTATTCATCTTCACGACCAGTTTCTGAGTTATTAGTCTCAAAATTTCTTAACAGAAATAAATGAAATAAATTTCAACATAATAATAATTAGCATTCTCAATCTATGAAGCGATACTACCAATTTCATTTAACATATTTGAATCTTGACTTGATTCTAGCGCGATTGCAGTATTCCCCCCTCAGATAAATTTCACCCACTTTTTAGCTCTAGGTTGTGAAAATTAAAAAAAATTCGTTTAATTCTCTTCTTTCTCTGTTGTATGTAGTTTTTCCCTCTGGCTAGTTTATTGGTAAATTGTATTATTTTATTTATACCCTGGATTATTTTTATTTTTAATCAGTATATCAAATTTACATTCGAATTTTTGTATTATTATTTCACCCATTTTATTATTTTTTGCACTTTTTATTTGGAACATATTTAGCCCAAATTCTTCGTTAAGCTACCCGAAATTTTCATACTTAAGGTACTTGCCAAACATGTGATTTCGCCTAAATACTAAATTTAGCATCTTTCCTGTTTCTCAAAATAATAAAGTTTTTAACTTAGGATTCCATTTTAAACTGCTTTACGATCGTTGCCATTCTCGGCTTCAAAACAAAGAATAGTTGAATAAAACATTTTGATATTTTCCAATATCTTCAAATACTGAGCTAGTTTTGTGTGTGTTTACCGCTTATAAGTTTGTGAATGAGCATGACAAAAGAACCCCCCTTCCCTAAAAAAAGGCTAACAGCTTTTATCCTTTTTTACAACTTCTAACGGAAACACATTTATAGGCGAAGATATCCGTATTTTCTCTGGATACCATCATCACTTGGACATTCAAAATATAAATAGTAAGCGAATATTACAAAAAAGTATGCCAATGCTCAACACTCTGTAAACATACACATTGATTAACTGAGTGCGACCACGCCACACACATTTTTTTTCCTCTTCATCTTTTTTAATATAAGATTACTTAACCTGAAATTTGGTTACAACGCTTAATGTTTACCTGGTGGCGGGAAAAACAAACTCAGCATAATATGTAAGAGACGTAATAACAACAATACATATACCTGTATAGGGCGTTTTTTTAACGTTTTGTGTGTTACCATTATTTATTAAATATCATGTTCTTCGCACTTAAACCATAAATTTCAATTCAATAGCAATGTCGCAAAATAATTTTAAAATGAGCCTATCTTTAGAATTTCTGATACACAGTTCCGCGCGCTAAAGATAAAAAGTTTTTTTTTTTTTTTTTTTTTTTTCCCGTAGATTGTTGCCATTGCTCGTTTTCAAATCGTTGAATTTGTTACTCAAAAATTCGTTAAAGATTTACAAAATATGAAATTGATAATAAAACAAATTCCAAATTTCAAATTTGGGCTTCCACATGCCTATATTCGCAGTAGGATTACGTCATTCAAAATTATGCCATTGGTTTATCACAATGCGAGAAATATACATACATTTATGCAGCTTTTTCATTATCAATTTCTTAAAATATAATGCAGGACTCTAACATTTGGTGGCAACAGTTTGAAAAGTGAAACGGACATTTATAGTGATTCAACGCAAAATGGCCAAACGAAAATAATAGTCCTTCAGGGACCAAGCCCCTTTGGACTAATAAGCTTGGTAAACCAAGTGATAAAATAATAATAATATTGGTAATAAGGTAATAAAAGAATACTTTCTCACAGAATTATTGTTTAGTGAAAAAAATAGAAATGGACAGCTATTTTCATATGTTATATATCTTCTATTGCCTTTTCTTAGATTAATGAATTAAGAATTTCATTTACCATCTAAAATTGACGTTTGTTGCTCCAATATGTTTAGAACTTTTCAGAAAGAGACTGTGAATGGAATTTCACACAAATCGTAAAAGGAACAGGAATACAAATCTGAAATTCGCTAACTTTTCCAAGTTGCAGTCAAAGTACATAAGGATAATATTAAAAAATATTGCAGTTGGTACATAAATGGGATAGATTTGCGTTTAGATTAAAATGCAAAAGATCCAATTTCTGTTTTTCAAGATTTATAATTGAGATACGTAGAAGCAGTTGGAAATCAGTGAAAGCAGATATAAATGACTCAAAAGATAATCAAAAGATAATATGTTTCTTTTGAAGAGTTATATTGATACGAGGATTTTGAAGAGTATATATCCATTATGAGTACCAATTTTCCATTATTTATTCTGATTATTTGCGATATCATATTTCTATGCAACATATGGTAAAAAGTTTTATAAAAGGGTTTTTTGAAAATTGTGTGAATATTTGAAACACAATTCTCAAAGACAATATCCGCTACCAAAATTCTCACAAAGTATAGTGTTTTTAAATAAATGCAATACCTGAAAAACATAAATTACGAGGGAATCAAAGACTGTTGCCATTCATTTGGTTAATTTTTAAATTATAATTGGCTAAAAATGGATATTTTAATGTAAAAGTGTGATTGAAAAAAATGCCAAATTTTGAAATTAGATTTAGCAAAATAAAAATAGTAGTATCTTTAATGGAACATTTTAAAAATTTTAAACTATTCAGATATTAAAATATGTCTTTAAAAATAAGAGAAATCTATTTTGTATTTCTACCGAGTCATATTCTTCTCAGTATCGAATTTTAGTATTATTCTGTATTTTATTTAAATAAGAGAGATTTTTAAAAGTTAAAGATATATTTTTGAAATCAGACAAATCGCACTGTTTTTAAGCGAAGTAGCTTTTGACTTTATAAATGCTCATTTGCTTATTTTATTTGTAATAAATTATCTGAAATAAAAAATAATTATTATTTTTAAATATAAAAATGCTTTTTTAAATTATTTGTTTTCATATACATTAAATACGTAGCAATATATGAATTTTAAATAAATATAAAATTTGCTTAAATCATGATAATTAAGTAAAAGTTGTAGGGTTTAGATTTATTTTAACTAACATTTATTTTAAGTTTAAACTATCTTTGCTGTCAAGCCTTACTTTCCCCTGGAATTGCCAATGCCAGAGCATGTAAATTTTAGTAGAACGCGCAAAGTATTCAAAT